TTGAGGGAGAAAAATGCAAATTACTGTGAGGAGGTCGAAAAGGGCAAAAATCTTAGTTTACAGAAAATAACGATTTTTTCCGTCTCCTTCCACTTTCGGTTATTTTCTTTGTTATTTTCGAATTCCTGATCAGAAACTGAGCCAGGAAAAATATTTTTCGAAATATTTTGACGAAAACTAGAATTTTGGTAAGCGAAAAATCCGGCACGTCCAAAAACCGAGGCATGCTCGCCAAAAAAGCTTCAACTCAGTTTGTAATGATTTTAACCTCTAAAATTATACACCATTAGATTCGCCGCTCTCTAAGCTACAAAATTATATATCGAGTGAAAGAAAAGAAAAATTCTGTGGTCAAAGTTTCTTGCTTTACTGGGAGACATCGAAATTCTGACCCTAATTCGCGATTTTCTCAATTAGAACTCAACTTTCAGGCAATGAAAATATCATATTCGGGATCAGCATCGAAAATCGAGTCGAATGATATACCTTTTCATCTTATTCGATCACTTTAAGTTTTTTTGAATTTTCACGTCGAAGGAAGAACTGAGATTTTCATCCAGAATATGTATCTTCAAGCCCCAAAAAAATTTCACTTGAATTCTGCTTTAGGTGCACCTTAGATTTTTACAATTTCTGAATTTTCTCGAATTAAGCGATTGTTACCATTTTTGGATTTCTGAATTCACAGCGTTTTAGAATGTCTGAATTTTTTCGAGCAAAACTCTCTGAGACTTTGAGCTCCGCCCTAGAAAACTTGCTTCAAAATCTTTTTTCTCGTATCCTGACGCACAGTTCATTTGTAGAGAACTTCAAGGACCATCCGAATGACTTCAGCTTGATCGAAAACTTTCAAAAATATAGTGGCTCTATTTTTTCCAGTATTGCAGTATGAACCTTATAGAGTATGACTCAAACATTCTGATACTCTTTTGACGAGTATCAGCTTGTATCATTGTATTGTATCGTGCTACTACTACTTTTGACGAAGCTTGTGCGCTAGGTTTTGCTATCAATATTATAGGGGATTTCGATGATATTTTCGTGCGCATGGATGATTGGGATGAAATGGAAGAATTTCAGAATTTCTGCATGGATGATATAGCAATGTTGTTTTGTATGTTTCACAGAAATATAACGTTTTCTCTTGTGGGTTGTATTTAAGCAGTTCTCTGTTTAGATGATGATGATGATGTGGTGTTTGTTGAAGAGCGTCGGGGTGAAGGGTGGGAGGTTCAGGAAGGTAGTAATCTAATCTCTCTCTGAAGTATTCAAGATCGGGTTTTCTCTATTATTTCTCTATTTAGATCGTGGTGATGATGATGTGGTGTTTGTTGAAGAGCGTCGGGGTGGGAGGTTCAGGAAGGTAGTAATCTAATCTCTCTTTAAGCCCAAAAAAAATTTCACTTGAATTCTGCTTTAGGTGCACCTTACAAAATCAGACATTCTAAAAATCTATGAATTCAGAAATTGCAAAATCGGTAAAATCAAAAACAGTCAGAAATGGGGAAAAACTGTGAATTCACAAATTGAGAAATTCGAAAAGTCGGTAAATTCAAGAAAGTTCAGACATTCTAAAAATCTCCAAATTCAGACGTTCCAAAAATCTATTATATCAGAAATTCAGAAATTCCAAAAGTCGGTAAATTCACAAATTCGGAAAAGCTGTGAATTCAGAAATTCAGACGTTCTAAAATTGTGTGAATCCAGAAATTCGTAGATCCAAGAAAATTCAGACATTCTAAAAAGTTGTGAATACATAAATTGAGAAATTCGAAAAATCGGTAAATTCGAAAAAATTGAGAAATTGTAAAAATCTTCAAATGCAGAGATTCTAAAACGCTGTGAATTCAGAAATCCAAAAATGGTAACAACCGGTTAATCCGAGAAAATTCAGAAATGGGCAAAAACTGTGAATTCACAAATTGATTCCAAAAATCGGTAAAGTCAGACATTCTAAAAAGTTGTGAATACATAAATTCAGAAATGCTAACAATCGGTTAATTCGAAAAGATTGAGAAATTGTAAAAATCTTCAGATTCAGAAAGTTTTAAGATCTGTAAATTCAGAAATTCAGTTGTAAAAATCTTCAAATTCAGACATTCTAAAACGCTGTGCATTGAGAAATTCAAAAATCGGAAAATTCAAAAAACACCAGAAATCCTGAAAATCGGTAAACTCACAGGTTCAGAAATGGTAACAATCGGTTAATTCGAGAAAATTCAGAAATTGTAAAAATCTGCAAAATCAGACATTATAAAAATCTATGAATTCCAAAATCGGTAAATTCAAAAACACTCAGAAATGGTGAAAAACTGTGAATTCAGAAATTCAGAAATACTAAAAGTCGGGAAATTCAGACATTCTAAAAATCTCCAAATTCAGACGTTCCAAAAATCTATTAAATCAGAAATTCAGAAGTTCCAAAAATCGATAAATTCCCAAGTTCTGAAAAGCTGTGAATTCAGAAATTCAGACGTTCTCAAAATGTGTGAATTGAGAAATTCCAAAAATCCGTAAATCCAAGAAAATTCAGAGATTCTAAAAAGTTGTTGATACATAAATTCAGAAATGCTAATTAATTAATGTTAGTTCGAAAAAATTGAGAAATTGTAAAAATCTTCAAATTCAGAGATTCTAAAACGCAGTGAATTCAGAAATTCTGAAGTCTTCAAAATCAGACATTCTAAAAATCTATCAATTATGAAATTCAGAAATTCCAAAAATCGGTTAATGCAAAAAAGTCAGAAATGGGGAAAAACTGTGAATTCACAAATTCACAAATACTAAAAGTCGGGAAATTCAGAAATTCGGACATTCTAAAAATCTCCAAATTCAGACGTGCTGAAAATCTATTAATTCAGAAATTCCCAAAAGCGGTAAATGCGAAAAAATTCAAGCAGTCTAAAATGCTGTGAACTCAGAAATGCTAAGAATCGGTTAATTCGTAAAAATTCAGAAATTGGAAAAATCTTCAAATTCAGAAAGTCTGAAGATGTGTAAATTCACAAATTCGGAAATTCTAAAAATTGGTAAATTCGGAAATTCAGACATTCTAAAAAGCTGTGAATTTAGAAATGCGGAAATTCTAAAAGTCTTCAAATTCAGAAAGTCTAAATGTCTTCAAATTCACACATTGTACAAATCATGAAAATATTTCAATTTTGAGTGCGAACGCGAAAGTGACCAAAATGTGTCAGCTGCGAACGAAAATTTTAAAAAATCAAAGATTCTAAGTTGGTTAGTTTTGGTAATTAGCATCGAAGGAGAGTGATTTAGAGTAAGTAATTACTTATTAGTAATAATTAGAAATAAGAGTATGAAGCTGATATTAATTAACCTGCGACTATCAGTAGTATGTAACCAATTTCTAACATGAGAAGGGGTATAACTGTCATATTAGAAATAAGACTATGGAGTTAATACTAATTAACCTGGGACCATCAGTACTACTTGAATGAATCTATGCGTTCAAAAGGCATATTCATTAGTACTAGTAATTAGTAGCAACCTCATACTTTTAGTTCTAATACAACAGTAATTAAAAAAATTACTATGCTTTATTGTTAACCTGATAACTTCGGGAATCCTCTCCAAAGCAAACAATCTGATCAATAGTGTTCTTGAAATGAATGTGGCAATTTATATATACCAGTACGTCTGCTCTAACGTTAACCAATATAAATATAAATAGACCTTTTCAAGTTATAGTTATGAAATACACGTGCTGACATACTA